AGCCCAAAGTTAACATTTTATAAAGACACTTGTGAATTTTCTTCAAGCTTACGACGTGAAAGATGTTTCTGTGTGACTCGGCCGCTCCCGTAGAAACCAAACGGAAGTGTTTGCTGGGGCTCACTGGGGAGGGAACTGGGAATTGCTGCTGTATTTCATTAAACCACAGACTGATTATAAACACTGCTGCTTATGTGCTACGGGTATGAACTAGAAAAATAAAAAGTGGAGGGAAGAAAAGAGAGAGGCCTCGTCCCTCTGCCCTTTCTGCAGGTTTGATGCAGTGCGAGTGTGTGAGGCTTGTGTGGCCGTGGTCAGCAGCACGGGGAGCCACGGGCAGCATGGGGTGGGTGCTTGTCCCAAAGGGAATTTGGGGGAGTATGAATGCATTGGGCATGGGAAAAAAGAGATACAAAAATCTCAGAGCCAGAAAGGTGCTGAAATAATTATTAAAAAAAGGAGGAGGAGTTGAGGAGGTGGTTTAAGTCCTCTCAAGGGGAACTTGGAGAGATTTTTGACAAAGTCTGCGTGGGTTAGGGCTGTCCTGCACGCTGAAGGTCAGCTTTCCCTGGCCAGGAGGGAGACATAGGGCTGCTCCAAAAGCTGACCTGATAGAATGTGTAATAAACTCAGAGTTTTGTTTATTAACATAATACGAAATACAAAATTTTAAAGGGAATTCGTAACATTTGTAGACCCCTTCCGGAAGATAGGAGCTGCGAGGGTTTTCTCCCCTTTCCAGTGGTCATATGTCTAATTTAATCTGCATGCTTTCATCACTAAGAATGACACAACTCAAAACCCATCTCCTGTGCACTTGCTGCAAACATCTGAGTGTCGAAATCCCTCTGATGGCAAACTAACACCTTTCATGCTGTTTCCAGCATTCCCCAGATACTAAGAAACATATTTGGTTCCCACATGCTTTTCAGCAATTTGGGCTAAAGCAGGCAGCTCAGCCCAGCTAAGCTTAGCTGGGAAGAGCTGTGTTTGCCCACAGGCACTGCCGTGTCCCGGCTCCAGCATCCAGAAACGCTGTGCCGAGGGCAGCGTCTCCGTCCATCTGCCCTTTGACTCACCATCACTGGAGCTCCTTCCATACCTGGATTCTTCATCTGTCCCCCCAAGAGGAGGAATCCCTTCTGCAAAGCTTCTTCAGGACACTTTTACATCATCTTTGCAGCTAGTTAGACCTGTTTACCGCAGCAAAGATCTGGTGCAATAATGAGCCAGCGGGGACTTCGGTGCGAGCAGCTGCTGCCACCACCAAGGAGTTACCTGCAGCCGCAGCTAACTAAGCTAAAGGCTTCTGGCAGATGGCAGAGTAAGATTCAACCTTTTAAAACTTCTCCTTTAAGGCAAAATAAGGTTTTCTTCCAAAGGTTTAATTGCTGTGTTTGGTCTTTTCCCCCTACGCTGAGCTCACTGTAGATGGTGGGAGGATGCAAACGTGGTGTTTGACCCAGGGTAGGCAACACGCTGAGATGTTCTCTACCAGCAGCATGTCGTCTTGTGATTGAGGCAGTTTGGAGAGGAGCAACTGCTGCAGATGCTGCAAAAAAATCAGAGCTGGAAAAAATCCTGCCCGATGTGGGGGTCCTGGAAGGTCCACAGGGGTGGAGGAGCCAAAGGACAGGGGCACTTTGAAGTCAGCTCCTCGCCCTTTAGCTCGGGGAGCTTGTGTCAGACATCTTCTAGCAGTGGCTGCCTTTCGGATGCTCTTGCAATGCTCAACAAGGCCAAACTGCAGTAAAATTACTGGAGTATTTTATCTAATTAGTTTAAGTTAATTTCAAGGCAATTGGGTACAAACCATTAAATCAGTTGGGATGGCTGCTAGCCTGAGAGATGCACTAAAATTGAAGTGGTGAAATCACACCAAGATTTAAATGGTCCCATTGTAAACCCCTCTCTTCCACCGCCCACAAACCCCGCGGTCCTGGGGAGGGAAAGGGCTGGGGGAGGGAGGGGAGCCCCGCCAGGTTTTTAATAAAGGATATGAAGAGCAAATTTGTCTTGCGTTTTTCTCCTGATGAAATATTAATGTCTGGTGTAGCCGTCTTGGCTGAGAAGTGTCAGTAATCAGCACAAATCAGGACTCCACCGCATGAGCAGTAGATGGAGTGGTTTTGCCAAAAATTCTCCCTGTCTGCATCCCAAAGGTTTTGTAAGGCATTAAAAGGACTGGTGTTCAGTTAGATAAGGGCATCTCCAATGTGGCTGGGCTCTTAAACAAGCAAAGATCCAGCCCCTGCCATCCAGGCTGGGGACTTCCTTGACTTAGAGGGTATTTAATAATGCTTTCCTCTCTGGCCTGAGCATCTTGTGAACCATCCGGCCAGTGTCCGAGCCCCATTGGACCAATGGAGCAGGGAGAAAGCTGGCAGGTTCTGAGCCTTTAGAATAAATCTTCAAACCAATAAGTTTCCAGGAAGTTTATTTTTAAACTTGATATTTGAAGCTAAATTTAGTAGCAAATCGATTTTTCTCCCTCTCCACGAATATTAAGAGCGTCACCTCCTGCTTCACAACCCAGGTCTTGCAGGGGATTTGCTCCCCCATTTTATGCAAACACATGAAGGTTAAGAGGTGCTTGAAGATCCAGCTGACATTTCCAGCCAGGCACTGCGCAGAG